CACCTGCCTCACCACCGCGCTCACCTACACCCACCGCTCTCCCCTCACCACCTGCCTCACCACCCACGCTCTCACCTCACCACCGCTCTCCCCTCACCACCTGCCTCACCACCTGCCTCACCACCGCTCTCCCCTCACCACCTGCCTCACCACCTGCCTCACCACCGCTCTCACCTCACCACCACTCTCACCTCACCACCGCTCTCCCCTCACCACCTGCCTCACCACCGCTCTCCCCTCACCACCGCTCTCCCCTCACCACCCAGCCTCTCACCCTCACCACCGTCTCGCACCCTCACACACCTGCTCTCCCCTCACGCACCGCTCTCCCCTCACCACCGTCTCCCCTCACCACCCGCTCACCACCGCTCTCCCCTCACCACCGCTCTCCCCTCACATCTCTGTGGGCACCGCTCGCGGGGTCAGGGGTCACCGCTGCCATCCGCACCACGTGCGTGCGCGCGCCCCGGTCACGTGACGGCGCGACCGTCATCGGCAAGGGAGCGAGGCGCGAGCGCCGCGTGGTGACGTCACCCTGGGCCCTCCGAGGGTGACGTCACCCTGGGCCCTCCGAGGGTGACGTCACCCTGGGCCCTCCGAGGATGACGTCACCCTGGGCCCTCCGAGGGTGACGTCACCCTGGGCCCTCCGAGGGTGACGTCACCCTGGGCCCTCCGAGGGTGACGTCACCCTGGGCCCTCCCAGGGTGACGTCACCCTGGGCCCTCCCAGGGTGAGGGTGACGTCACCCTGAGCCCTCCGAGGGTGACGTCACCCTGGGCCCTCCGAGGGTGACGTCACCCTGGGCCCTCCGAGGGTGACGTCACCCTGGGCCCTCCCAGGGCGATGCAAATGCACGTGGAGTGGCGACCCGTTTACTCCAAGTTGGCTTCGTAATCGTCGCAGTCGTATTCACAAGGCAGTTTAAATATTGTGCGATAGGGAACATCAACTCCTATATTGCTGAAGGGTCTATTAAGGCCACACTGTTGACGAATGTGTTGCGTTTCCCCCCTCACTAGGTGGCGTGTGTACTCTGTGTGTGTACTTATATTGTCGTGAGTACGGTCGTTTGTGCTCCGATTAAATTCATTTTATTAGTAAAGTGTTGAACATGCGTGGCGGCACTTGAGATAAGGAGGGGGTTTTATCTTTACAGAATTTGAAAAAAATGGCTCTTGTTAATTTCGTTGCCGACCCCTGGAATGGGGCATGGGATGAGATGCAATTTGTTAATTGCGATTGTAAGATCTTCTCAAAGATCTTGAGGAGAGGGCCGAGATAGGGTGCCAGTTGTTCGGGTCGTCTGCAGCGCCGCCTTTATGATGAGGGGCGCACGAGGGACGGATGCCTCGAGAATGGAGAGGTTGAATTATGCGGCCATCGGTTTTACGATGGGAGATCCCCACACAGTGGAGGGCAAAGGCAAGCAGGACACGGGCACCATCAACACCCGAGGACGGTGTTGTGGAGCGTGGAGAGCAAGGTTAGGACCTCACACTACGAGATTGGGAGGAAATTACATTTCTGATTGGGGGCAATGGGGAGGATGGGTCAGGAGGTGGGTGATCGGTTGCATTAGAAAGGCACTGGAGCTGGGCACTTTTAAATCTAGATTGAAATCGCAGCATGTCTTTAGCACAGTAGTTGTGTGTTCAGTTTGTTGTCCTTCCCCTGCACCTCCGGTCAGCGCGGTTGGCTACGCACGCGCATGGCCACAAGGCTGCACCTGCCTGCAGGTGCAGCCTTGTGGCTACGCACGCGCATGGCCACAAGGCTGCACCTGCCTGCAGGTGCAGCCTTGTGGCTACGCACGCGCATGGCCACAAGGCTGCACCTGCCTGCAGGTGCATCCTTGTGGCTACGCACGCGCATGGCCACAAGGCTGCACCTGCATGCAGGTGCATCGCGCGAGTTAACCCCATTGACCTCTAGGCACTAATTGTAGTTTGATAATAAAGGCAACTGCCAATTGAGCAAACGCCTCAGCGGTGCTCCTCGATATTCACACGTGTTTACCATCAAGGGCCTTCATGGCTGTCCATACAAGTTTGGGATCTTTTAAATCCGGCGTGTGTGGGTGGTTATATTAGAGTGAGTGCGATAGTGTATGGTCTATGTGTGTGGTTATATTAGCGTGATTACGGTAGTTAGTGTTATACTGCGCCAATATTAGGATGGGCACGGTAGTGTGCTCTTTGTTTTGGTTGTATCAGGATGAATCTTGACTTAAAGCTTTAGTGACTGCAGGAACTCATATCCTTGGATCTTTCGGTAAAGTTACGTGACTCTCCCGAAAGACCCAAGGACGTGCGTGTGTCAGGGTGCGTGCGTGTGTGTGCGTGTGCGTGCGTGCGTGTGTGCGTGTGTGTGCGTGCGTGTGGCCGTGTGTGTGCGTGCGTGTGTCCGGGTGCGTGCGTGTGTGTGCGTGTGCGTGCGTGTGTGCGTGTGTGTCCGGGTGCGTGCGTGCGTGCGTGTGTGTGTGTGCGTGTGTGTGCGTGCGTGTGTCCGGGTGCGTGCGGCAGTGCTGACGTCCGGGTGAGTGCGGTAGCGGAAGCGGCCCGCGTGGGTGGCGCGCGGTGCATGCTGGGCCAGGTGCTGCCCTCCCCCAGGCCGCGGCCGATGTCGCTGCTGCTCCCGGTGGCCTCTGCTGCTGCCCCTCCTCCCCTCCTGCTGCCCCCCCTGCTGCTGCTGCCCCCCCCCTGCTGCTGCTGCCCCCCACTCTCATCGATGTAGCCCCGGCCTCTTCTGCTGCAGCTTTACCCGCGTACCCCCCCGGGCGGAGCGCCGGCTGCCGCGGTCATCGCGCGCCGCCCCGGGGAGCAGCCTCCCGCCTGGCTGACTGGAGGCGGAGAGGCTCGGCCAACGAGACCCCCTGAGAGGCCCCCCGAGAGAGACTCCCTGAGAGGCCCCCCGAGAGAGACCCCCTGAGAGGCCCCCCGAGAGAGACCCCCTGAGAGGCCCCCCGAGAGAGACTCCCTGAGAGGCCCCCCGAGAGAGACTCCCTGAGAGGCCCCCCGAGAGAGACTCCCTGAGAGGCCCCCCGAGAGAGACTCCCTGAGAGGCCCCCCGATAGAGACTCCCTGAGAGGCCCCCTGAGAGAGACTCCCTGAGAGGCCCCCCGAGAGAGACTCCCTGAGAGGCCCCCCGAGAGAGACTCCCTGAGAGGCCCCCCGAGAGAGACTCCCTGAGAGGCCCCCCGAGAGAGACTCCCTGAGAGGCCCCCCGAGAGAGACTCCCTGAGAGGCCCCCCGAGAGAGACTCCTTGAGAGACCCTCCCTGGCAGCTTGGGACCCCCCCCCCCAGATCCCTCCCGAAGTTCGTGGGCAGCCCGGGACGCGGCACCTCGCGCCTGGCCCCGCAGCGGAGCCCCGAGTCGTCGTCACCGCCGCCGCAGCCGCCGGCTCCTCCTGCTGCTCCTCCTGCTGCTCCTGCTGCTGCTCCTGCTGCTCCTCCTCCTCCTGCTGCTCCTCCTGCTGCTGCTCCTGCTGCTCCTCCTCCTCCTGCTGCTCCTCCTGCTGCTGCTCCTGCTGCTCCTGCTGCTGCTGCTCCTGCTCCTCCTCCTGCTGCTCCTCCTCCTGCTGCTCCTCCTGCTGCTGCTGCTCCTGCTGCTCCTGCTGCTGCTGCTCCTGCTCCTCCTCCTGCTGCTCCTCCTCCTGCTGCTCCTCCTCCTCCTGCTGCTCCTCCTCCTGCTGCTGCTCCTGCTGCTCCTGCTGCTCCTGCTGCTGCTGCTCCTGCTGCTCCTCCTCCTGCTGCTGCTCCTGCTGCTCCTGCTGCTCCTCCTGCTGCTGCTCCTGCTGCTCCTGCTGCTGCTGCTCCGCGGCGCCCGGGTGAGTGGCTCGTCCCACGTCCACGACTCCCGCTGGCGTGCGGCAGCAAACCACTGCACGGGGGAGTCGGGGGGGCAGACCTCGACATTGGGGCCTCTGTGTATGTTACCGTATTGTTCAACTTCTTTCGCACCGTACGTAGTCAACCGTGACCAGGCGCCAGACGTCTCCACACTCAATGTCAGCGCCGTGTCGCCTTGATGCTGCGCCTCCAAGTAGAGTGACACCCCCTGAGTGAGTGACACCCCCAGCGTCACCCCCCTGAGTGAGTGACACCCCCAGCGTCACCCCCCTGAGTGAGTGACACCCCCAGCGTCACCCCCCCGAGTGAGAGACACCCCCAGCGTCACCCCCCTGAGTGAGAGACACCCCCAGCGTCACCCCCCTGAGTGAGTGACACCCCCAGCGTCACCCCCCTGAGTGAGTGACACCCCCAGCGTCACCCCCCTGAGTGAGAGACACCCCCAGCGTCACCCCCCTTAGTGAGTGACACCCCCAGCGTCACCCCCCTGAGTGAGAGACACCCCCAGCGTCACCTCCCTGAGTGAGTGACACCCCCAGCGTCACTCCACTGAGTGAGAGACACCCCCAGCGTCACCCCCCTGAGTGAGAGACACCCAGCGTCACCCCCCTGGGACACCCCCAGCGTCACCCCCCTGAGTGAGGCACCCCCAGCTCACCCCTGAGTGAGTGACACCCCAGCGTCACTCCCTGAGTGAGAGACACCCCAGCGTCACCCCCTGAGTGAGAGACCCCCAGCGTCCCCCCTGAGTGAGAGACACCCCCAGCGTCACCCCCCCGAGTGAGAGACACCCCCAGCGTCACCCCCCTGAGTGAGGACACCCCAGCGTCACCCCTGAGTGAGAGACACCCCCAGCGTCACTCCCCTGAGTGAGAGACACCCCAGCGTCACCCCCCTGAGTGAGAGACACCCCCAGCGTCACCCCCCGAGTGAGAACCCCAGCGTCCCCCCCGAGTGAGAGACACCCCAGCGTCACCCCCCTGAGTGAGCGGACACCCCCAGCGTCACCTCCTGAGTGAGAGACACCCCCAGCGTCACCCCTGAGTGAGAGACCCCCCAGCGTCCACCCCCCGAGTGAGAGACACCCCCAGCGTCACCCCCCCGAGTGAGAGACACCCCCAGCGTCACCCCCCCGAGTGAGAGGACACCCCCAGCGTCACCCCCCCGGAGTGAGAGACACCCCCAGCGTCACCCCCCTGAGTGAGAGACACCCCCAGCGTCCACCCCCCTGAGTGGAGAGACACCCCCAGCGTCACCCCCCCGAGTGAGAGACACCCCCAGCGTCACCCCCCCCGAGTGAGAGACACCCCCAGCGTCACCCCCCCGAGTGAGAGACACCCCCAGCGTCACCCCCCCTGAGTGAGAGACACCCCCAGCGTCACCCCCCTGAGTGAGAGACACCCCCAGCGTCACCCCCCCGAGTGAGAGACACCCCCAGCGTCACCCCCCCCGAGTGAGAGGACACCCCCAGCGTCCCCCCCCTGAGTGAGAGACACCCCCAGCGTCACCCCCCTGAGTGAGATGACACCCCTAGCGTCACCCCCCTGAGTGAGAGGACACCCCCTAGCATCACCCCCCCTGAGTGAGAGACACCCCCAGCGTCACCCCTCTGAGTGAGAGACACCCCCAGCGTCACCCCCCTGAGTGAGAGACACCCCCATGCGTCAAACCCCCCCCTAGTGAGTGACACCCCCAGCGTCACTCCCCTAAGTGAGAGACACCCCCAGCGTCACCCCCCTGAGTGAGAGACACCCCCAGCGTCACCCCCCTGAGTGAGAGACACCCCCAGCGTCACCCCCCCCGAGTGAGAGACACCCCCAGCGTCACCCCCCTGAGTGAGAGACACCCCCAGCGTCACCCCCCTGAGTGAGAGACACCCCCAGCGTCACCCCCCGAGTGAAGAGACACCCCCAGCGTCACCCCCCCGAGTGAGAGACACCCCCAGCGTCACCCCCCTGAGTGAGAGACACCCCCAGCGTCACCCCCCTGAGTGAGTGGCACCCCTAGCGTCACCCCCCTGAGTGAGAGACACCCCCAGCATCACCCCCCTGAGTGAGAGACACCCCCAGCGTCACCCCTCTGAGTGAGAGACACCCCCAGCGTCACCCCCCTGAGTGAGAGACACCCCCAGCGTCACCCCCCTAGTGAGTGACACCCCCCAGCGTCACTCCCCTAAGTGAGAGACACCCCCAGCGTCACCCCCCTGAGTGAGAGACACCCCAGCGTCACCCCCCCGAGTGAGAGACACCCCCAGCGTCACCCCCCCTGAGTGAGAGACACCCCCAGCGTCACCCCCCCGAGTGAGAGACACCCCCAGCGTCACCCCCCCGAGTGAGAGACACCCCCAGCGTCACCCCCCCGAGTAGAGAGACAACCCCCAGCGTCACCCCCCTGAGTGAGAGACACCCCCAGCGTCACCCCCCTGAGTGAGAGACACCCCCAGCGTCACCCCCCCGAGTGAGAGACACCCCCAGCGTCACCCCCCCGAGTGAGAGACACCCCCAGCGTCACCCCCCCGAGTGAGAGACACCCCCAGCGTCACCCCCCTGAGTGAGAGACACCCCCAGCGTCACCCCCCCGAGTGAGAGACACCCCCAGCGTCACCCCCCCTGAGTGAGAGGGACACCCCCAGCGTCACCCCCCTGAGTGAGAGACACCCCCAGCGTCACCCCCCTGAGTGAGTGGCACCCCTAGCGTCACCCCCCTGAGTGAGAGGACAGACCCCCAGCATCACCCCCCTGAGTGAGAGACACCCCCAGCGTCACCCCTCTGAGTGAGAGACACCCCCAGCGTCACCCCCCCTGAGTGAGAGACACCCCCAGCGTCACCCCCCTAGGTGAGTGACACCCCCAGCGTCACCCCCCCCGAGTGAGAGACACCCCCAGCGTCACCCCCCCCGAGTGAGAGACACCCCCAGCGTCACCCCCCCGAGTGAGAGACACCCCCAGCGTCACCCCCCCGAGTGAGAGACACCCCCAGCGTCCACCCCCCTGAGTGAGAGACACCCCCAGCGTCACCCCCCTGAGTGAGAGACACCCCCAGCGTCACCCCCCCGAGTGAGAGACACCCCCAGCGTCACCCCCCCGAGTGAGAGACACCCCCAGCGTCACCACCCCCCCGAGTGAGAGACACCCCAGCGTCACCCCCCTGAGTGAGAGACACCCCCAGCGTCACCCCCCCTGAGTGAGAGACACCCCCAGCGTCACCCCCCCGAGTGAGAGACAACCCCCAGCGTCACCCCCCGAGTGAGAGACACCCCAGCGTCACCCCCCTGAGTGAGAGACACCCCAGCGTCACCCCCCTGAGTGAGTGGCACCCCTAGCGTCACCCCCCTGAGTGAGAGACACCCCCAGCATCACCCCCCTGAGTGAGAGACACCCCCAGCGTCACCCCTCTGAGTGAGAGACACCCCCAGCGTCACCCCCCTGAGTGAGAGACACCCCCAGCGTCACCCCCCTAGTGAGTGACACCCCCAGCGTCACTCCCTAAGTGAGAGACACCCCCAGCGTCACCCCCCCTGAGTGAGAGACACCCCCAGCGTCACCCCCCTGAGTGAGAGACACCCCCAGCGTCACCCCCCCGAGTGAGAGACACCCCCCGCGTCACCCCCCTGAGTGAGAGACACCCCCAGCGTCACCCCCCTGAGTGAGAGACACCCCCAGCGTCACCCCCCGAGTGAGAGACACCCCCAGCGTCACCCCCCCGAGTGAGAGACACCCCCAGCGTCACCCCCCTGAGTGAGAGACACCCCCAGCGTCACCCCCCTGAGTGAGTGGCACCCCTAGCGTCACCCCCCTGAGTGAGAGACACCCCCAGCATCACCCCCCTGAGTGAGAGACACCCCAGCGTCACCCTCGAGTGAGAGGACACCCCAGCGTCACCCCCCTGAGTGAGAGACACCCCAGCGTCACCCCCCTAGTGAGTGACACCCCCAGCGTCACTCCCCTAAGTGAGAGACACCCCCCAGCGTCACCCCCCCTGAGGAGAGACACCCCCAGCGTCACCCCCCCTGATTGAGAGACACCCCCAGCGTCAACCCCCCTGAGTGAGAGACACCCCCAGCGTCACCCCCCCGAGTGGAGAGACACCCCCAGCGTCACCCCCCCGAGTGAGAGACACCCCCAGCGTCACCCCCCGAGTGAGAGACACCCCCAGCGTCACCCCCCTGAGTGAGAGACACCCCCAGCGTCACCCCCCTGAGTGAGAGACACCCCCAGCGTCACCCCCCCGAGTGAGAGACACCCCCAGCGTCACCCCCCCCGAGTGAGAGACACCCCCAGCGTCACCCCCCCGAGTGAGAGACACCCCCAGCGTCACCCCCCTGAGTGAGAGACACCCCCAGCGTCACTCCCCCGAGTGAGAGACACCCCCAGCGTCACCCCCCGAGTGAGAGACACCCCAGCGTCACCCCCCTGAGTGAGAGACACCCCCAGCGTCACCCCCCTGAGTGAGAGACACCCCCAGCGTCACCCCCCTGGGTGAGAGACACCCCCAGCGTCACCCCCCTGAGTGAGTGACACCCCCAGCGTCACCCCCCTGAGTGAGAGACACCCCCAGCGTCACCCCCCTGGGTGAGAGACACCCCCAGCGTCACCCCCCTGGGTGAGAGACACCCCCAGCGTCACCCCCCTGAGTGAGAGACACCCCCAGCGTCACCCCCCTGAGTGAGAGACACCCCCAGCGTCACCTCCCTGAGTGAGAGACACCCCCAGCGTCACCTCCCTGAGTGAGAGACACCCCCAGCGTCACCCCCCTGAGTGAGAGACACCCCCAGCGTCACCCCCCTGGGTGAGAGACACCCCCAGCGTCACCCCCCTGAGTGAGAGACACCCCCAGCGTCACCCCCCAGAGTGAGAGACACCCCAGCGTCACCCCCCCCTGAGTGAGAGACACCCCAGCGTCACCCCCCTGAGTGAGTGACACCCCAGCGTCACCCCCCTGAGTGAGAGACACCCCCAGCGTCACCCCCCTGAGTGAGTGACACCCCCAGCGTCACCCCCCCGAGTGAGTGACACCCCCAGCGTCACCCCCTGAGTGAGAGACACCCCCAGCGTCACCCCCCTGAGTGAGTGACACCCCCAGTCGTCACCCCCCTGAGTGAGAGACAACCCCCAGCGTCACCCCCCTGAGTGAGTGACACCCCCCAGCGTCACCCCCCTGAGTGAGTGGGACACCCCCAGCGTCACCCCCCTAGTGAGAGACACCCCCAGCG